ATTTTGGTAGGTGGTGGTGTGCCCTGATGAGACCCCGGCGGGCAGGGGAATCATGGGGGCCACCCCTCTCACCCTCTCTGGTGGGGCTGGAGGGTGCCTGCCTCAGCTGGCTTCTCCCCTGCTTCTTGGGACTGAGCACTGGCACGCTTGGTGCATGAGTGGCCCAGGGAGCCGCCGTCCCGGCCTCGCTGCCTGTATCCCATGCCCACATCCCCGGCGTGTGGGCGCTCACCATTGCCCTGGCTGGTGCAACTGGATGTGGTGAGAATTAATTGAGCATTGGCCGGAGGCGGCTTTAATTAGCACCGACGCGCAGGGGGGAGGATGCCCAGGCACTGCTGCCGCCTTCCCCGCCGAGGGGGAGATGCCGGAGAGCATCCAGGCACCGCCAGCCCCCCGCTGCCATCCCTGCTGCCGCCTGGAAAGCGACCTCATCCGCATTACGGCGCGGCAGGGCCCTGCGGCGGCAGCGGGCAGGAGCGATGGGCAGCTGCCTCCAGCGCAGCCCCATGCCCGGGGAGCCGAGCGGCACCCACGGGGGAATTTGAGCAGAGTCAGCTGGGAAGGGGTTTGTTTCTGGGCTGGAAAATAAAAGGGGAAAAGCAGTTTGGTGAAATAATACTTTTTTTGCTCATTTTCCTTGTTTTCGTCTTTCGCTTCGGGCTGCAGCTCCTGAACCCCTGAGGTTCCCTTCAAAGCCCAGGCTGGGCAGCCCCAGGGCTGGGACACGGGGACGGCCATGTCCCAGGGCCACCCCACCAGGTGGCCAGGGTCCCAGCCCGCAGGAGGGATCTCAGTTCAAAGCTTGGCTGGAAACCAGCAGCCCCAAAGCCCGGCAGGATGGTAAGGCTGGTCCTTGCACCCTGAGCTGGTGGGGCCCATCCTGGCTGTGTGTCAGGGGCACAGCATGGTGTGTCTGTCCTTCTGTCTGTCCTGGCCTTCATCGGCCTGGCAATGCCAGTGCCCGGGTCCTCTGCACCCTGGGTGTGATTCAGCATGGCTGGGAAGGGAGGGAGAGACCTGGCGTGCCGGGCTAGTCCCTGCGCTTGGGGCAAAGTGTGGGATGGGGATAGGGATGGAGCGTGGGGGTAGAGATTGGGAATGGGGATGAGGAGAAGGATGGGGATGTAGGATGGAGATGGAGGATGGGGATGAGGATGAAGGATGGAGAATAGGGATGAGGATGGAGGATGGGAAAGAGGAGGAGGAGGATGGAGATGAAAGATGGAGATGGCGGATGGGGATGAGGATGGGAATGAGGAGGAGGATGGAGATGGAGGATGAGAATGAAGGATGGAGGATGGGGATGGAGGATGGAGATATGTATAAAGGATGGATATGGAGGATGGGAATGAGAATGAAGATGGGGATGGAAGATGAGGCAGCTCTGAACATTTCCAAAAGCTCTAATCCAGGCAGCAGAAAGTGCCTGTGAGCCAAAAAGCTGTTTTGACCTCCCCAAGCCCCAAGATGGCATGTGGAGCACCAGCACGGGAGATCGGGATCCCAAAACATGTGGGCAAATGGCTCGGGAAAACGGGAAGAGACAGCTTTGCTCAGGAGTTTCCCCAGCAGGAGAGGGACCCCTCGTGCCCCGGTGCTGGGGAGTTTGAGCCCTCCTGGGTGGCACTACCCCAGTGCCGGGAATTAGGGTGGTGGGGACGCATGCCAGCGGCTGGCCCTGGCCTCATCCTGCAGCCTTCAGGAGTCCGTGGGGACACGGCTCAGTGCTCACCCCAAGACACCTCCTTTCCCCTTGGTGAGGCGGCCAGGCGGCGGGCTGCCAGTCCTTGATGATTTGTGGGTAATTACTGCAGATAATGAAATATTTAACCATCGTCTTTATTATCGGGGGTAGCGCTGAGCCAGGCAGGAAGCCGCTGCCGTTCGGGCAGGGCCTTGCTGCCTTCACTGACGGGCTTGCTGCCGGGTTTGGTGCTGGTGCAAGCTGGCAGAGCCAGCTGGTCCCAGCGTGGTGGCTGATGGATGGAGGCTGTGGTGGTGACGGTCACCCCATGTCCCCGAACTGTCCCTTGCAGGTGCAAGGCTGCCCCTGTGCATCACTGGGGGTCTCCTTTGGGGACAAGGAGGGCACAGACCCAGCCTGGGGGACGTGGGCTCCTTCTGCCCCGGTCTCTTGTCCCCATTGTCACCAGAGATGTAGGACTGGCTCCGTTCTCCACCCAGGGCTTTTGCCTGTGGCCTGGCTTTGCTGTTGATGGCCGGAGGCGGATTGCAGGTGGTTTTTCTCTTCCTTTGTTTTCCTGCCCGTGCTGTGGCTGAGGCAGGGGACCTGGTATCAGCTCGCACAGTGGATATTGCTCACGTCTGAGGCGACACCGGGATGCAGTGCAGTGTCCATCCCCAGGCTGGCTCCACCTGCCTGGCCCTGGGTGCAAGGGGGATACCTCCAACCGCATCCTTTTTACGGAGATGGGGAGCTTTTCCCGGCGGGATCTGCACGCCTCTCCCACCATGCAGCCCTTACCTGCGGGTACCCATCCAGCTGCCGGTTTATCTCCCATGCTCCTCCATCTACCTGCCCGGCTGTATATCCCACACACTCTCAAGGTTTTGCAGCAATGAATTTACCCACTGCCAGGCTCAGGATAAAATTAATTCCCACTGGGGAAAAGCAAGCAAAGGCTGCTGGGGAAAACATCCTCTCCTTCCCCCTCTCCTTCCCCGAGCCCCTCGGTGGGTGAAGGTTTCCCAGTGGGGAGCTTCTCCCATTCCCAAATTTCCTTCCTAGTTTTTGGCTTCGTGCCCTGATGACAGAAAGCCCCCAGCCAGGTTTTTCTGCAGCATCTTTCCCATCTCTGGCCTGGGGCCACCCTGGGACATGGAGGGTGCTGGGGTCACAGGTCCCCCCAGGCAAGGAGGGCTGAGTGGGGTAGCTCCTTGCTGCAGGGTGTCATGGGGCTTGAAATGTGGGTGCTGCCCTGCCTGCTGCAGTCAAGGGGGGACTGAGGGACCCTCTGGTAGCTCTAACAGGGCCGAGCATTCAGGGGGTGCAAAGCCCCAGCCGACTCCTGCCCCACCGGCAGCATCTCCCACTGCCCGCTCCTCCACGCCTCTGCAGAAATGAAGGCTGCTGGCTTCTCTCTGCACAGTAATAATGGGGAAAATAAAGGAAAAAAAAAGCTTTGTAATTAAGCAGTCAGCTGCCGTCCTCCCCGGGCAGGCTTGTCAGGAGATAAATGAGTGCGTGGGGCAGCCGGTGGCAGCGGGAAAGCCGGGGATGTCCCTTGGGGATGCCGCGGGGTGGGAGATGCCTTCCCGCCAGGCTGGGACCCCCGCGACCCTGGGAAGGGCTCTGGGGTTTTTTCTCTCCTCAAACAGCAGAGAAACATCCTCGAAGCCTCTTGCGAGCGATCTGCACTCCCACCCCGCCTCTGTCCTGCCTGGCACGGCCATGGAAAGCTCTGAACTGCCTGGCGTCCTGCTGGAACGGCACAGTGGGAGCAGCGAGCCCTCCCTGGGCTCGAAACAGTGCAGATCAGTCCATGGTCCGTCTGTCCTGCCTTCACGCTCGGCTGAGGGGTCTCTCCTTCCCCAGGCCAGCGTTTGGGCCCATCCTCTTTGGGCAGCGTGTCAGACACCCCGGGCATCGCAGGCAAGGGTTGGCCCCATGGGTGCTGCTTCCCTCGTAGAGAGAGGAATGTCTGTCTTCTAACCGCTCCCTGTAGCACCCCCTGAGATGCAATGTTCAAGCAGCACCCATCCTCGGAAAAGCCTCTCCGGCAGGGTCCCCGGGATGGAAACACCCTGGAGAAGCGGCTGCTGACAAAAGCTGCATCTCTGAGCCCAGAGCCAGCTTGGAGAGCGAGGGAGAGTGCTCTGCCTTTGTCCCCGATCATTTCCCTTTGTGTAGGACTTTGCAGGAGAAGTGTTTGCGGGAGCCCCTGGTAAAGCCCAGGCGGTGCCTCTGCAGCCTGGCTGCTGCTGGTAATTAAGGCAGCGGATCTCCAGCGGGAGCATCCCGTGCCGGGGAGAGGGCCGGTGCTTTGGGCAGGGGAGTTGGGGCATCGCAGGACGGGGAGACCGAGGAACCCACGCTCAGCCATGCGCCGATGGCCTAAGGACATTGAGACGGGGTTGTATCTGTCTGGTTGATCCAGGGAGCATCTCCTCCCCCGGGCTCGGGGAGCATCAGCCGGAGCCTCAGCGTGGCAATGCCACTCGGGAACGGTTGTCCTCTTCCATGGGGTTATTTTTGGAGCCAGGTGAGGACACATTGACTGTGGTGGCTGAGGAAGGAGGCAGGGACATGTGAAGGTGAAAGAGCAGGGAGAAGGCAGGCAGGCAAGTGTGATGCTGCTGCTTGGACAGGGAATCAGCCGGTGGGGACCCTCACCTCCCCTCGCAGCTGGTGCCGGGCCGTTGCCAAAAGGCATCAGTGGGCATTTGCTGGCTGGCCCGAACATTGGGGTCTCCCATGGCCGTGTCCCCATGCAATGGGATATCCAAGGTCTTTGGGTCCATCCCCTTGCTAGCTGGGGACAGTGCCTGAGGATGTCCCCAGAGGGCTGTGAGGATGGATGCCTGCCCCTGCTTTGCACACACGCCAGCTGGCAGTGGGGTTCCTGGGGCTCAGAGGGACCCCTGCCCGCCTGTCCTGCTGCTACCATATGGCTCTGGGTGCCACAGACCCTTGCTTTGCCAGGCTTTCCCTGGTACGAGGCTGGCACAGAGCATCCTCTTCTCTTTCCCATGAGCCAGCCCTTGCAGCATGGAGATGGGAATAGCCCAGCCTTGCTTTGCAGGAGGGGAAACTGAGGCAAAAGGCAGGAAGGGCGCTGGCAGAATACCCAGATCTCTCAGTCATCATCTCTCCATCAACCTGTATGCCCACACCTCTTTTGAGACAAATTTTGCCTTCAGGTCCTAGCGGGGTCCCCTCACCATTGCAGGGTGAGAGGGAAGCCAGAGCAGTGACTGACCCCCAACTCTTTCTCTCCCTCCCAGGTGCTGCTGGTGGTGAGGCCACCCACGCCAGCATGGCTCTCTACAACAACGGGGCCGATGTGCCTTCGCCCCAGGAAGCCTCCAATGGCTTCTCGCAGCCCAGTGCCTCGGGTACATGGCACAAGGGCGAGGAGGAGGTGCGGCTGGTGGAGCCCAACCTGGTGAAGAAGGCTCACCGGGAAATCCTGGACCACGAGCGCAAGCGGCGGGTGGAGCTGAAGTGCATGGAGCTGCAGGAGATGATGGAGGAGCAGGGGTGAGTGGCGGGGGCTTGGGGCTGGGCTGGAGATGGACCCTGTGGCTTGGGATCCTTTTGACCCGCTTGTACCTTGTTCTCCCCCCTTTTTCTTCCCTAAAAAAAACACCTTAATGTGGCAGATGTTCCCAGTTGGAAGTAAATCCACTTTGGGGTGTATCAGACATCTTTGGGGTGGACTGGTGGGTTGGTTTGTGAAGCTAAATGCCTCCAAGAAGTGCAGACCTAGGAGTGCATCTACACATATGTTGGAGGCTTGCTCCGGCCCCTCCGCTCAGAAATCTGGGCTCCCAGCTTGTCATGCTGGGAAAGTGGAGGCAGGAAGGAGGCAGCCATCAGCGCTGTCCGGCCCGTGCCCTGCATGCCTGGGATGGGAGATGGTCCTGCTCTGTCTCTTGTGTTGGGGAGATGAAGCAGAGCTGGGGTTTAGTCCCAGGCAAGGCTGTTTTGGTTGCTTCAGTTTGTCCTGCCTTCCTTCTCTCCCCCCAGTTTTGGGGTGAGAGGATCCCTCCCGTCCTGGCGTGCCCCTGGCTGTGCTCCATGAGCGGCTCCACAGCCTTTGCTCTGCCCTGGGGAAGCAAAGGGCTGGGGGAAAGCCCAAGGGGCCGGAGAGCATCCCTGCCTGAGTGGGCAGGAGGGGCTGGGGGGCCAGTGAGGAGACCCCCATCCCCACCAGACCCATGGCCGTGCTGCTGGCTGCCCCATAGCTCCGGCACCAGCCGAACAGCCTGATCCCCCTGACAGCTCGCTAAAGCCTGATGGATGGAGCAAATTCTTCGGCACATGCGGGTAGACGGGGACTGGTATCAGCTGGGGAGAAGGAAAATGGATTGAGGGAAGGCTTCGCCAAGGCTTTCATTAAGAGCGCAAGCGTGACCTAGAATTAAATTGTCTCACACAGACTGGAATAATGATTGTGCCTAATTTGTTGTTATGGAAATAAATAAGGCTGACCTGGCGCCTTGGGGAGCCCAGAGCCTCCTGGCGGGTTCCCGCGCCCTACTAGGGATCTTACTACTAGTAGTATCATTACTGCGATAGGTAATAGCAATATTGCAGTTGGTATTGTTGTTATTGCTATAATTGCCTTTGCTATTATTAAGGCTATTAATAATGATGATGATGGTGATACACCGAAATGATAATATAATTACAGTAATAATCTTGGTCAACCTGGTTAATCCTCCACCAGCTCTTGCCCTCCACACAGGGCTCTCCGGGAAGGCTGCACGGGAAGCGCTTTGCACCCCTGAGGTTTCTGCCTGCGCCGGGGGCTGCATCCTGGCCACGGCCTCGGGGGAGTTATTGGCAAGGGCAGGGCCCCCGGGATGAACAGCTGTGACAGCAGAGGAGGTTTTGCAGGGATTTAAGCTCTCCCTTGTTTCCTTAAACGCCGATGGCTCCTCCTGCCTGCGCTGTACCCGGCTGCTGCTCACTCCAGGCTGCCTGCGTCGTTATTCCCTGCCTGCAGGCTGGATTTCTTTTCCAGAAAAGAAGCATCAGCAGTTTTTCTTTCTTTCCCAAACCCATTCTATGTGTTAAATGCAAAACCAAAATCCCTCCAAAGGGGTTATAAGCAGCACCAGGGGGTGCAGGAGGGAAAAGGCTGGTGGGGTGCTCCTGCCTCCATCACAGGATTGCAGGGTGCAGCAGGGGTTCCTTGCCTTGGCCTTGGCCCCCGCAGATTTGCTAACGACCCAGCCACGGTGGCCCATCTGTCACCTCCTGTTTGGCCTCGCGTCCTCTCTCCAAGAGCATTGGCCGCGTCCGTAATACGCTGCAGCAAATGCTTGTCTTCTCGGGCAGACATCTTCCTGCTGCTGCTGGCTGGCTGATGCCTGTGGCATGGCCGGGGCCGGCAGGTCTGTCCTCGCAGGATGGCCACACTCTGCCCAGGTGGCTGCACCGGTGGCAAGGGTATGGTGCAGAGCAGCATTTGCGGGTGCTGCCCTGTTTTCGGGGCCCCCCATCCCCAGGCAGGGTGCAAGGTGAGGGGAAGCGTCTGGGGCTGCCTCCGTGCCCAGTTAGCTTCTCTTCTCCTGCATGGGAGTCCTGCCCGGCTGGGGAATTAATGAGAGCCTTTCAGTGCAAATGAGATCATTAATATTAATTTCCCTCTTCTCCCTGTTCCCCTTTGGGGACACTGCAGGGGATGCGGGTGCTGCCATGTGTCCCTCTGCACCTAGGGGCACCCAAGGGCACCCAGGGGCACCCACGGTGCCACGTAGGGCATCACCATCCCCAGCACGGGCTCTGCGAAGTGCCAGCCTCAGGGACTGCGGGGCTCGGCCAGGCTGTGACACCCGGTTTTCTGGGCTTATTAGCAGTGATGCTGATGGGACGTGATGGCGAGGATGGGCCGCGAGCAGCCCCCGTAGATGGTGTGGCTGAGGACAGGGACTCACACAGAGCCTAACCCCTTTCCTCCTGGAGCAGCAGGGTGGCGGTGACACAGGGTCTCTCTCCCTTTACCCTGTCCCTGGTGACGGTGCCGAGAGCACCACGGATCCCTCCACCACATCCCTCCGTTTGGATGTTTTTGGTCGAGGGGGATCCTCAGGTGCCCTTGTTCAGCCATGCGATGCGGCACAGGACCGCCCTCCCAGGGCTGTCACCCGTCCCTCCCCAGGGACGCCTCAGGGACGGCTGGAGTGCCGTGGTTTGCCGCGGCTGTTCTCAGATGCCAGGGACAAAGTGATTAGTGTCTCTCGTTAATAACCCTGCAGCGGCCTGAGTCAGCGTTTGGCGTTAGCGCAGAGCTGGCTCGGCTGCCGGGGCCCTGGCGCAGAGCGGGGACGAGCGAGGGAGGCTCGCAATGGGACGGAGGCGCTCGGCGCGAACCCCGGCCTTGCCAGCTGTGATGCTGGCACTGCTGAGGGGGTTCAGCGGAGATGTGCCCCAAACCCTGAGGCAGTGGGGGCGAATGGCAACCTCATGGTCATCCTCTTCTTTTACCCCTTCCTGATGTCCATTCTTCTGCCAAACACTGCTGGGAGGGGCAGGCAGGAGAGAGGAGGGCATGGAGGGTGCTGGCAGGGGACCAAGCAGAGAGACTTGCTCTTTTCCAGGCCCTGGTGACGGTCACCATGTCACCTCTCCTTCTGACCGGCCTCTCGGGCCACATGTCACTCCCAAAGGTATGGAGGTTCTCAGCAGGTCCCTGGGGAGTCCGTGCTTTGGCCACAGCAGCCCTGACCACGTCTTTGCCCATCCAGGTACTCTGAAGAGGAGATCCGGCAGAAAGTGGGGACGTTTCGGCAAATGCTGATGGAGAAAGAAGGCGTGCTCACCAGGGAGGACCAGCACGGGCGCCAAATGTAAGTGAGGCAGCTCCGAGTTGGCCCGTCTGTGCATCCTGTCTGTCCCTCATCCCAGAGAGGCACATCCCAGATTGCCTCCAAGTATTGATGGCTGGGTGGGTGGGCAGATGGATGGGTAGATTGCTACAGAGAGAGTATATATATATAGGGATGGTTGGATAGATGAATGGACATAGAGAGGAGATATAGGGTTGAGGGATGGATGGCTGTCTGTTTGGATCATTGGTTGTTTGGTTGGATGGTTGGTTGGTTGGATGGTTGGTTGGTTGGACAATTGGTTGATTGGTTGGTCAGTTGGTTGGTTGGAGGCAGGGTTTGCCTCTCTGAAGAAGGATCCTACCTCTGGAGAGGTTAGAGGTTATCCTGCACTGGTCTTTTGGAGACCTCAGGGTGCTGTATAGAGAGGCCAGCGTTGCAATGCTGCTTTCACAGATGATGAAACTGAAGCACAGAAGGTCTTGATACTTGGCTCACCCCACCAGCCAGTGGCAGAGACCAAGCTGCAGGTTTGCTGTGCCTCACTTCTGCCCGCTCCTGCCTCTTTGCGTCACCTCTCCCGCTCTCACTGGGGGTGAAATTGCAGCTTCTGCCTCCAGCCAGGCAAGGGCACCCATCTCTAGTCCTTGCTCTTAACTCCGTAGTGCAGAATAGTCCTTCTGTCTCCATGTGTGAAGCTGGGGTATCTCAGCTTGGCTGGAGATGGTTTGGGAGGTTGGCTGCTGGTAATATTCCTGTTAGCAATAATAATCATTAATAATAGTAATAATAAGTTGAGTTGAAGGCGCCCAGGCTGGATAAGCAGGGCTTGAGCTTGGTTTTCACCTGGATAGACCCAGAGCTTGCGTCTCCATCAGGCTGGTGTAACCCTAAGGAGCCACATGGAAGAAGCTTCTCCAAGGAGTTCCTGCCCTGTGCCTCTGCCTCCTAATCGCTCCTCACGCTGCCTGGTCCCTGGGGGCTGCTTCTGCCCCAGGGGGGCTTGGGGCTCAGGTTAGGCGTCCAAAGCAGCCCAGCTTCTGCTGGGGACGTGCCACTCGCTCCTCCTCCCCACACAGGACTGTCCCCAGCCTCGCGAGGGTCCGCCCTGGCTCGATGATCATTTATCTGCGCGATGCTTAATGGCCCAGGCAGCGTGGCTGGCCCGGCGCACACCATCCATCAGCCTGGAAACCAGGTCACTTGGGACAGGAATAGATGCTGCAGGTTCACTGAATATTAATGCTTCATTAGGGTCAGGAAATCAGGGCAAGGGGGGAGGCAGGGAAGCCGCGGTGGCGGGGAGAGCCTTCCTCCCACCGCTCAGCCGGCATGCCGGGCAGGGAGGGACGCGGCTTGGCTGTGCCCAGCCCGGGATGGGCCGCATGACCCTGGGGCAGCACAAAGCATTCAGGGTCCTCCCCCAGGCAGGAAAAACCAAGGCATGGGGGAAAAAAAACCAACCTGCCAGGTCACCAAGCATCAAGGCGAGGTGTTAACAAGTGGCCTTTGCCTGTGGGGTCATGAGTCATCTCCAGGGCATCTTCCTGGCAGGCTTGTTAGGGCTGGTGCTCTAAGGAGCACAAAGCAAAGCCGAAGGTGTGTTAAGGTTACCCAAGCAGCCCTAGCTGTCACCTTTGTGGGCTTGCTTTTGCAATATGAAGGGTAATCATTAAAGATTAGCCCAGGGGCTATAAATAATAGTGCTGAGCTGGAAGGAGCAGTCTCAAAGCAAAGGATTGCTTGGGGGAGAGCAAAGCCGGAGGTGCTTGGAGGAGGCTGGTAGGAGCTCGGCCCAAAGGAGGTGGTTCCTCATGCAGTGGGGACCTGAGCTGCCGACGTCCCTGCTGAAGGATGTCCTCGGTGCAAAAGGTCTGCACTGGTTGAAGAGGCTGGACAAGGGAGTCAAATAAACTTTAAATAAAGAGCCCTAGTCCTTGTGGTGGCTGGGAGAGTACTCAGTGAAACATCTTATGGGCTGGTCCTGCTCCAGCACATCTCTGGACTTTTACAGGCTGCCAGGACTATGAGTCTGAACCAGCTGCTCTTGTTTCAAAGCAGATGCGGAAGCTCAGCATCATCTGAAAAACTCCCCAGGGGAAACTGAGGCACTGAGCAGAGCCGTGACCACCTGAGTCCCCAGCTTGGTCTCTGTGCTCCTCCAGCTCCCGTCTCTGTGTGTGCACAGCCCAGTGATACAGCCTGGTCCCCAAGGAGTAACTGCTTGATGGACAGGCTGGTGGGATTGAAAACAAACGCAAGCGTGTGCCAGGCGGGGAGGGATAATTGGGGCAGCACAAGCCCGTCTTGAGCCGCTGAGCACAGCTAATGGGTGAGATGCTGGCAGCAGGCTCTGGTGTGGAGCACTGCCTGCTCATGGAGCAGAGAGTCCAACAGGGAATTATCCCTGCTCACTCCTCTCTTTTCCTCTTTTCTCCCCCTTCCCATGGTTGGGTGGGTGGTTGAAAGGCTGTTCCTGGCCTTGGGGCATGGCCAAGGCAGGAGTCGCTTGGAGAGGACGCAGAAAGCCATGGCTGCGGTGCAGAAGGGAGCCCAAGATCTGCTTGAGCGATCATCCGCGGTCAGGAGGAGGATGCCTCGCTTCTAGTTTTGGTCCAAACCATTTTAATTGGGTTAAACAGCCCAGGGCCTGCCTGCAGCCAGGGATGCCAACACGTGCAGCTCTCAGATCTGCTGTCTGGGGCTGGGAGCATCCCTTTGCTTGGCCAGAGGTGCTGGCAGGGCTGCCAAGGGACCCGTGCCATGGGGGCTGTGCTTCTGCACCGACATCCCCGGCTGCATGCCTCTGGGCTGGGAAGGGCAGAGGAGCCCACAGCAGGTTTCCGAGGGCAAATGTCCCTTGGGAAGCAAGTGCCTGGGCTGGTGTGATGCTGGGCACCCTCCAGGCACGGCCCCATCTGCTACGGTTCCCTCCAGATTACCTGGATGGCCACGTCCCACCTGGGGGTGAGATGTTCTACATCCCCCAAGAACAAACGAGAAGCCGCCGGGGGATTTGATGCTGCTCCTGGGGATGATGGCAGAGGAGGACTGGGGAGGTGGGGGATGGCAGGGAGAGGCTGGGGGGGGGGGGCCCGGGGGCCCCC